TTCAGCAGCTGGTCACAATATTGGCCATAGAGCAGACAAAAGTAGTTCAAAGTGGCAGTCAAAAGGAAAGAGGAAATCGAGACATACTAGTAAAAATATAAAGCAACTCTCAAGAAAATATGAGGACACGGACCATCAATCCAGTGCTTATTTGCCAGGAATAGGAAACTCAGATGGAATCTATCAGGGTGCTGGTCAGAAAGTTGATTGGAATGAAATGGGTGCCCCTAACACTTCATACAATTGTACTTCTCAAGTTAAGGGCAAACCTGTTGCTGAAGGCCAACTAGATGGATTTCGGGACTTGAAGCATATCAAGGGTACAACAGTGGAGGCAAAGCTATTGCCCGATGTATCTCTCACACCTCAGAGATTGCTTCCTTATCGCCATTCACGCTTTACTGTTAACTCCAGATATCAAATGTCAGATTTTCCTGGAAGAAATCATTGTTCTGATGCTTCATTATACGATGTTAAGCTAGAAGTTAAATCCAGCTACCGGCCACAGCATGTGCCTTTGGTTTCTCTTGTGAGCAAACTGAATGGCAAAGCCTTCATTGGACACCCTTTGACGGTTGAGGTTTTGGATGAAGGTCATTGTGATAAAATGTTGAGTGGCATTGGATGTGACTTGGAGGCTAGTGATGTCTACTGTGTGGCCAAACCAAAATTGGTCAGCGGAAGAATACGATCCAAGAATTTGAGGCGTTTATCTAGTAAGTCTTCCAAGATGAAAAAATCTGGGCTTTCGAATAAAAAGATTCGGAAATTGTCATCATTGACAGGTCACAGGCAGTCAGAAGAGGGGAGAAAACCGGTGGTAGATAAGCTGAAGGGTCCAGTTATAGCCTGTATTCCCCTTACATTGGTATTCAGTAGGATACATGAAGCAGTGAGTGGTCAGGCACGGTCCACACACCGTGCAATACCAACATCTAATCCATGACTTGTGTTGTTGGGAAGGATTTAGAATGAATGGATGATGCTGCGGATAAATGCTTCTTTGGTAATTTGAGAGATTTTGGTTTAGTTATGCAGACCATAATATTATCTACTTATTTTTAACTATATGCACAGTTTGCAGCCCCACATATATGAAGGTTGAATCTTCTGTACAATTTTCAAGACATTTTCATGTAGTGGTAGGGAGTTATAAATCATCTGAGGCTTCTCCTGGCTCTGTAAATAATGTAACATTGGATGAGGTGTAAAGAGGGATATGGTCTAGTATTAGGTGTTTGACCTGATATTAGGTTCTTATAAAGTAATGAATTAGGATGTTACGGAGGTTCAATAACTACATTTTATACTCATGTTGGATTTGGAGTCGATAGTTTATACCTCTATGAATCCTACAAGGCTAAAACAAAGAAAAATGCAATTATGAGAACATTTGGATCAATCCCCATTTCAATTTATTGTTTGTATGGAACCTTGTTATGCATATCAATACATATGCCGGTTGCCCATATTATTTTGCATTTTCTTCGTTGTCTATGCTGATTCTTTATTTTGGGTGTTATTTCATTAGCGTAAATACATAATTAGCTGTTTCTGGTTGTGATTACTGATTATTTTAAGTAACATGCAAAAGAAAGAAGAGAATAATTTTAATTTATTAATAGTACATTTCTTTAATGAAATTTCATATCCTAGTTGTTTCCCCCAATCCCCCGGTTATGAAATTACACAAAAAATACAAAGACATAAAATAGAAGGTCACAATGTAATGTTTTTCAAATAATTAAGAGGGTTAAAGAAATATACAAGGGGTGATAATGTAATAGTTTTCAAACAATTAAAGGAGTATATTGTAGGGGTAGAAAAAGTATGGGATTTTGTACAATTTTACAAAATTTTAGGGACTATTAGTGTAATTTATTCTTTTTTTTTTGTACTACACCAATGATATCTTTCAAATGATAGTAAAAAAATATTCATTTAAAAGAAAAAAAATTGTTTGACAAAGAGGTGAAACTCTTCATCAAATGAGTCCTTATAAAAGTAAAATATATTTTTATACTTTATATAAGTCAAAATCAAACTTCAGTCATCTATTAATAAATACAAGTGTTAAACCATTTAAATTATTGATCTTTAATCTAATTCCTTACATTTGAGATGTAAAAATTATCAAAATAAGTTTTATTTCTTCCGACAAAATCTTTTGCACCCCTCATTAACAAAAATAGTATTTAGTAATTTGTAAATATTATTTAGTGATTTATGTAGTACTTAAGGTGTTCATTGATTGGATTCAAGCAATTTTGAGGGGAAAAATATCTTATCCAATCTCTTTGATTTTATTGCTTGACCATCTAATTTGTTTGGTTTAAAAATCAATTCAATCCAAATATATTTTGATTTGGATTAGTTTGGTTTTTGATTTTTAAAACATAGCTACAATATTTTCATAGATAAAATAAATTATTAGTATCAATAATAATTATTAATAATTTATATCTATCACTATTAATAAAAAGGAATATGTTATTTTGATGTCTACATTTTCAAGACTCTTTTATGCCTCAACTAATATCTATAATCACTCTACTAATATAAAATTCACTCTTATTTTATTATCTATTTATTATTTTTTTTTACTTTTTAAAATAATAACGAAATATAGAGTGTCTCATTTTACTTAGTTATTAGTAAGACAATATAACCCTAAGTGTGTGGTTCAGCAGTAGGGGTTGATTCACGCTTAAGCAAGGTCAGAGGTTTGAATCTTGCTTTGTGTATGCAGTCGCGTTAAATCTTGGGGTCAGCTATCCCACAAAAAAAAAAGTAAAGACAATATGCCTTTTGGATATACATATTTTATTGACTATTTTGTCCCTTAATTTCCAAAATACTCTTTCTCTTCCATTCTTTTCCTTATTTAGTTTTTATTTTATTTTTCTTCATTTCTTCATAATTGTTTTTTCAAATATCTCACCCTTTAAATAATTACTCAAAATTACTAACATCATCAAATTGTTAACCACTCACAAATTTAACACCAATTTTATTTTTACATAAAAACACACCAAGTCAAGGAATGATTTTTCTATACTAATAATAATTATATATGTAACATCATGACTTTTCTATACTATTAATAATAATATATGTAACATCAAGAATTTTTATTTTACCTTTTTAAAGTTCTCAATTTTTTAGTAGTAAAATTTATTTCATAAAAATAAATTAATTTATTAGTTTATTTATTATTTAAAAATGAAGGTTAATTTTTCTAATCTATATTTTATTATTATTATTTTTGTTTCAGATTTCATATTTAAGTATTTATATATTTTTTAATTTTTGAAGTAATTGTAAAATAATTTTATATTATTCAAGCACATATTTAATGAGCTTCAATAAAAGTACATGTTTAAATGGGCTGTGCGATCCTAGTCTAACAGTAATCAGATCCAAATCCAACCCACAAATACACGGATCTTGTTTACGGGTAAACGGGTCGAACTTGCCGAACCCGCTTTATTCAATTTTATAAATTAGGGTTTCTTCATAGTCCTATATATACAAAGCCAAACGCAAAACCCTAGTTGGGAATTGCAGGTGAAGTTGAAAATGGCGACAGTTCCAGGGCAGCTCGTGTGGGAGATCGTGAAGAAGAACAACTCATTCTTGGTGAAACAGTTCGGAAGGGGCACTCAGAGCATCCAATTCAGCAGAGAGCCAAACAATCTCTATAACCTCAATTCTTTCAAGTACTCTGGTGCGTTACCACTCAATTTTATTTTTATTTTTTTGAGAAAAAATGTTGATGGGGATGAGGTTATTTGATTCTTGAAAATGGGCACCTAGAAAAACCAATCCTTTTTATGACATTGAGTAGGAATACTTGGTTTATCTAATGATCTCAGCTGATTACATCTGAGAAACCTATTGTGGATTGGATCACTGTTTTTTTAATTGTTTGTTGCTTGCATTGGCATGATAGGTTTGGCAAACAAGAAGACTGTTACCGTTCAGCCAGCTGGAAAAGATCTGTCTGTGTTGTTTGCCACAACAAAGACGAAGAAGCAAAACAAGCCCTCTGCTTTGCTTCACAAATCTGTGATGAAGAAGGAGTTCAGGAGGATGGCAAAGGCTGTGGAAAACCAGGTAAACAAAAAAATACTTAGTATCTTAGAGTTTAGCTTTGTTATGCCTGTGAATGGTGTATGATATTGTTGTTGTAATTCCTGAGAGTTTGATTCTATTGCTATTTCAAATATTTGTTTTTTTTTGCTTATTTTTTTTCCTTTGATGATGTATATTTTGGCTGGTTAATTTGTTTTTGCTGGTAGTTTCTGTAGCCAAAAGTTGAATAGGACTAGTTCTTATTATACCTGTAAGTGTCATTGACAATAGTATTATGATCTGCATCTATGCTTACCATATTATGTCAGTGACTGAACCGGCCCCAGGTGGCAATTTTGGTGTCATTTTCATAAATGAAAAGAAGTTGCCTTGCTCGTGTTTTTGATCTAGTGATTGTTGTGTATTTGTTGGGGCATTTTTTGCTTAAAGGATAACTTTGTGGGCTTTTACCAGCAAGGCTCAGCAGCGGTGATGAGCTTCTAACATATAAGAAGAATCCTTTTCTGGGTTTCTTCAATGAAATATACATGTTACGCTTGGCTTCTGAGCTTATATTATTCAGAATTTCATTCATGAGTTTATTCTTGTCATCCCTTCCTGATGTTAATAGATGAAATCTTACCTCTCTTTCCTATGCTGGTTTATCAGTCTCTAGTGTTGGTGTCCAAATTTTCTACATTGTTTATAGTTATAGTCTTGGTCAACAAGACTCTGCAGCGTTGATGAGCCTCTAACATATAAGAAGAATCCTTTTTTGGGTTTCTTCAATGAAATATACATGTTACGCTTGGCTTCTGAGCTTATATTATTCAGAAATTCATTCATGAGTTTATTCTTGTCATCCCTTCCTGATGTTAATATAGACAAAATCTTACCTCTCTTTCCTATGCTGGTTAATCGGTCTCTAGTGTTAGTATCCAAGTTTTCTACATTGTTTATAGTTAGAGTCTTGGTCAATAAGACTCCACAGCGTTGATGAGCCTCTAACATATAAGAAGAATTCTTTTTTGGGTTTCTTCAATGAAATATACATGTTACGCTTGGCTTCTGAGCTTCTATTATTCAGAAATTCATTCATGAATTTATTCCAGTGATCCCTTCCTGATGTTAATAGACTAAAGCTTACCTCTCTTTCCGATGCTGGTTAATCATTATTTAGTTCAAGTGTCCAAATTTTCTGTATTATTATATTGTCTTGGTCTGAATTTCCATCAATATTTTGCATGTTTCCATGAGTTAGACTATTAGTTTTGCACGGACAGCAAGACTTCTTTTACCCTTGATTAGGTATACACGGTTCTATTTAGTTTAATCTATAATTATTTTCTATGTAGATTCCCACTGTGCAAAATCTCTAATTAATGCTTGCTCATATTTTGTGAATTGTTGCTTGTAAGAATGCTGTTGTGCAGTTACCTCCTTATATTCATGTGGTTTCTTTTATCTGATTTCTTTTTTCTAATCATGCAACGTGCTGCAGGTGGCAGAAAATTACTACAGGCCTGATCTCAAGAAGGCTGCTCTTGCTAGGTTGAGTGTTGTTCATAGAAGCCTCAAAGTTGCCAAGTCTGGTGCCAAGAAGAGGAATAGACAGGCTGTGAAGGTCCATGGCAGGAAGTGAAAGCGAATTGAGAAGAGTTAGATTGCATTCGACCATCGTTTTTGCCTCCTTTTTTTTGTTTTTTTTTGTTTTTTTAGAACTCTATTTTAGATTTCCTGAGTTTTGAGATGCAATTATTTATCTAGTATTCAATATGAAACTGGAACTAGCATGTAATAGCTTACAACTCGTTTGATGTTTGTCTTTGATATAATCACTTTATTGTTGGTTTAAAGTCAACTGACAAAGTGGCTGGCTATTGCATCAAAGTAGGGATGATTAGTGTCTTTAGCATTAAAACCCTTGATTGAAACTATCTGTTTTTCTCGAGTTTTATCTAGCATAACGAAAACAGTTTTGTGGACCTTGAAATCAGCTGGAGTGAGGATTTTGGGGTTGAAGCACGGTAAGCCATATGCATCAATGTTCTATTCTTGTTTTGAAAAAGACGGGCCCTATGGTGGGTGTTTGATTCAGCAATCGTAATCATGTTTCCTCCATTTATTAATTAAAGTAGCACGTATTAATGTTGCAGTCTTCAAAAGATGGGGACAACTATTGAAAGATGAAACATCAGAAGATGAGCAATGGTTTTTTGTAAATTGATGAGCCATGTGTTGACACTTCCATGTTCATAAAAACCCGTGGGGGAAAGTATTGCCACTTGTTTGAGTCTATTTAATGTTAATGTGTAGAAGTCTTTGTTAATACAGGTGCATTTATTTGGAAGCTCTTTTCGTCTTTTGAGATATTAATCTTAAGTTAGTTTTGGCTTTGGTTGGGTAATATTTTTTTGTGTAAGAAATGTAGAAGTAAATTTCACATACCAGAAGCTATTTGATCGTGTAAAGGTTGATAGAAAAACAAAGGGATATACCACAACTAAAAGTATTTTACTTCGTGGCTAATAGTATTAACTATTAAGCTATTCAGAAGTTTCGGACCATATACGTTTGTTGGACCAAGATGTATGTTAGGTAAACGATTTCACATAATAACAAGTAGAATGTAGATATTTTATAAATATAACGACTGCACCTAGAGCCTCCAAAACTACCTTCTTTCATTTTCGTTACATTTATGAGTGGTGTCTGAAATATGCTGATGAGTCATTGTTGGTAATCTTATTATGAATAGACTTAATTGTCGGCTGACTGTCTTGCGTGATCAACACGATAGTTTTTAACCGCTTGAGGCACTTTGATTTGTGAAAAAAAAGTATTTAACCACCTTAAATTTCACCTCCTTTACAAATAGATACTGTAAACTTTAATTTGATCTCAATTGACCCTTAAACTTTATCTTGTTAGTAAATAGACACTATAATCTTTTATTGTGTTATAATTGATTTTTAAACTTTACCTTTTTTACAAATAAACACCTTGATTTTAATTTAATCTTAATTCTTAAATTTTTTCTCTTATGTATTTAGTCATCTCTTATATTATTTTGAGGTTAAAAAACTAATTATTTATTTTATATCACTCATTCATTAGTTTTTTTTATATCATTTTTTATATTAAACCATAAAATTTAAAATTTAAAAATTAAATATTTTTTTTTTATTATTCTTCCTTTTTAAAATCATATTTTATCATATTTAAAAATAATTCTAATACATGAAGAAAAAATTAATGAATGATCGATATTTAAAATAAATAATTGAACTCTAAATTAATAAAATAAAACTGTAAATTATAAATAGTAAATAACAATTATAATGAAATTAAAGTTGAAGGTGTTTATTTAAAAAAAAAAGAAAGAAAGAGAGAAGTTTAGGGATTAATTGGAACAAAATTAAAATTTATAGTGTCTATCTACAAATAAAATAAAGTTTAAGGATTGATTAAGATAGATTTAAAATTTAGGATGCTTATTTGTAAAAACCGTAAAATTTAGGGTGAGTGAATACTTTTTTCCTTGTTTTTTTTACAATGCGGATCTTTAATACAAACTATTCACGTTTAGTTGAGTCGGGAGGCTTCTCAAATCCAACCTCGGAAGAATTTGACACGCTATAGTTTTTTTTGTTACAAATTTTGAATAATCAAACTGTATTGTTCTTCTAATTATTCTTAATAGTTAAGTTAATGCGGTCTTTAGTATTATCATACAAAATTCTAATGATTAGAATTTTGTAGTTGGTGGGCTAGTACACAAAGGAATTTATCAAATTTAGAAGGGTAAAAAACTATCCCTATGGATGCCAACTTTTGTACTGCGTATTATATTCAAAGTTACAAGGGTTTTTGGTGTTAATAAAAAAATCAAATAGAATAGTATAAGGTATTAATATTTAAACTTGTTGAGGAATCCTTCCTAAAAAGTGTTGACAAAGTCTAAAGTCAATGAAAGCATATTATTACACGCATTGGAATACCATGTTACTTGTCCTAGTGTAATTCGCTAGCCTTATAAATGAGTCAGATACAGCACAAGGTTTCATGATTCGTTTGGTACTTACTGTACCACATTATATTCCGCAAACTATTCTGGCTGCTGATCACACAGCAGCTATGTCTGTTAAGAAATCTGTGTCTCTGAATGGTGGCAGTGCCATTACCAACCTTAAGGGCCAGAAACCTTCAAAACGGAGGCGTTTTGATCGTTATTTTTCTTCAGTTGAGTTGTCTTTGGAGCCAGGGAAGCAGCTGAAGGACATGGATTCCAACAAGTTGAAGGCTGAGATCAAGAGGTGGGCTAAGGCTGTTGTTGCATATGCACGCCAAGTAAGTGGCCGTTTTGGGAAGTCTCGTGGCTAAGCCACAAATTTAACTTTATGTAGCAACAATTTCTTGTCTAAGGGCCTATATCACAAACATGGCTTTTGGATTTGGTTAATGAAAGAAATGTTGGTGGAATTATGAGAATGAGATTTAGATTAAGTGGTTGTAGCCTTGAGAATTGTTGGTTGTATATTTGTTTGTAAAAAGCAAAGATCAAATAATTGTGTGGGGGAATTGCATCCATTTGTACGGACAAGAACCATGCCTTGTCAATCTGAAGGTAGAATGCCAAATTATAAATTTTCAATGCATTTAAGTTTCACAAAGAGATTGTAAATATACTCAATATAATCTGGAATTAGAAACTAATTTTTCTCTCCATTCAAATGCTTCCAAAGACAATCCTAATTTCACTAACATTTTGATAACACTTGAAGTAATTCGTAATTTTCATATCTACAATTTAGAAGGGAGACTGAACTGTAGGGTTATATGAGTTAGTTAGTACAGGTGAGGGAAGGCAAACAGGTCAATTAAAGCAAAATCCCTTCTTAATATACAATTCATCCATGGAAAACTGAGATAACTAAAAGACAATCCAGCATAAGCTTTCTTTCTCTCGTGTTAAACTGGTAATGACGTAAATGATAACGTGGAAAGGCATTATTCCAATTTTTTCTCCTCCATAAGAGTCTTCTCTCCGCCTGAAATGGACCTTAAAAGCTTCTTAGAACATATATCCTGTGCCTGTGTAGTGTGTTTTACACGGTTGGCTCTTACCCAAGCAGGTTCCTGCAGAACACAGTACCATATCCTGTTATCTCTCATAAAGCAATTTGAAAAGGAGTGATTGACTAATTGTGGATGTGAGGCAAAACAATCACCTCAGGAACAAAGCGAGAGAAACCAAACTTAATCAACAAGAGGACATGCTCCATGATTAGAATTGCTGCTAGTCCAGGCTCTATTTTCCATTTCCCCTCCTCATCATATAGCCATACTAAAAGAGCACAGTTTGTGCATATAGACATCAATATAAGAAACTGCAAAATGAAGAATGTCCTCAAATAAGAGTAACGTAAAAATCAAGTATAACTCAGTGTGAATTAAACATAAGTGAGTAGAGTTTACCCACGACGCACTCATTCATGTTTAAAGATGCAATTTTACAAACGCCTAATGGAAATGTCATTTGACTGTTACATCATTCCTTCCCATGCCTCTTTCTCAATTAAAACTTAAAAAAGGTTGCATGCTGAAAATTTCAGTAGATGGACCTCCCATATAGTTCGATATTTGGTAAATGTGTTCCAATTTATAATTAATATGAAGTGAATTCTCCAGAATAATTGACAAATAGCTTCCAAAGTCCTGTGTAGCTAAATAGATACCTGAAATATGTTAAGCCAGGCTCCTACCGTTGCAGCTGCACGAGGAACAGGCCGCCTCAAAATTGCTAGCAGCTTCAATGCATCTGTCCTGATTTCCATAACATTGTTCTGAACAGCGAGGGAGTTGTCAAAAATGTAATATTTTATAGAAGGCCACAATGAATTAAAGAGCACTTATAGCAATGGTGAAGGCAAGCGAAAGGAAGTTCCAAAAGGGATGTAGACAAAAGTATTTATACCACAGCAGCAAAAGCAAATGCAGGTGGGAATGCGCAAGCAAACATCATAATCATTCCAAACTGCAATGCCAATTCTAAGAAATCTGCAAACAGGATAGATAATATCAGGCTTGGGACACTTCTCAAACATGATCAGAAATAAAGCCTTTCTAGTTTTGACTGCTACATACACATGTATATCTAAATGAAACTACTTATAATATATTCCATATGTAACTAATTAAATATCATATACAATTTAGGAGTATAATGAATTTGGAAGTACCATCAAATAATCCATCTTCAAGTTCCTCACCAATACTAGCAGAGTAAGAGGGCTTAAGGTATTCTTTCTCTACTCTAGAAGTAAACTGGAATTTTTCTCTTGCTTCTCCTTTCTCATTCTTTTTGTGTCTTGAGAAATGAAAGATAAATTAGCTATTGCATGGTAGCAACATGGTAAACAAAGTAAATCAACCACATAGCATAGTCCATGTCCAAGGGGATGAAAAGGCTTACCGAACCCTGTACTTTTTATAGCTATACTTGAGATATGGCAATGAATTTTCCAACAAGTTTTCCAACACCTGGAAAGATGTTTTCTTTTACTCCACTATTTTAAAGGAAAAACCTCAAACTATAGAGCAGGAAAAAAAGTAGAAAAGTAAAGAGAAAAATTTTATCTGCAACCTCAGACAGAAGGAGCCGCTGAATCAACACTTGGCGAAGAGTTGAAAAATTACGATGCAACAGGGCATGATAAAAGATTCCAATGTATGTCTGCATGAAGTACAGGCCAAACACCTGCAGGAGAAGTAAAGCCCTGAGTTCCATGTTTAGGACCAGCGGAAAGAAGTATGGTGCCTATGAATCCTCATCATTACCTTGTAGACCAAGCTGTCAGCCCTTTTTTCTGTGTTTTCGTTGTTTTCATTCATGATAAGTTTTACAGACACCTTGCCACCAATCTTGGTAATATACTGAATGGCGAAAAGGTAAACAGCAGTGAGCCCAAACCTGAATCCCAACATCAAAACAAGAGTCATATTAATTAATTATCTGACTCAACCAAATAATTAATATGATTAACAAAAGATACTTCTTAGTATCAAATTACAGATTTAGTTGAGAAAAGGTTGTCCCTTTCTAATGGGATCAAAATCCAAAACCTCAGTTATTTGCCACCAACAAAAAATGGCATTCATGAGTTTTATGTGGATGACAGAGATGCTTGTGGGACTAATGAAGAACTTTCATGTCCTTAATCTCAGGTACAAGTCCAATAGGAAAATGTACACAACGGCATGCATGTATCATGGGATGAGTTGCATCTAGCAAAAACACACTCAATAGAAAATATGTCTTTTATTAAAAAAGAAATGGTATATCAAGAGCAAATTGTATCATACGGATAATGATTCCAGTGGCATTATGATTTACTTTACTAGATGGGGTTGAACTTTTTAGTTTGACAGAAAGAAGACTATAGCAGGGTAATTGCCACTAAAGAGTCAAAAGAGAACATGAAATGAGGCTAGAAAGAAGACTATAGTAGGATGAGAAAATAAATGTTGAAAGACCAATAATTATATAAACACAACAGAAGATACTTTAATTGAGACTCAAGAACGGAAGAACAAAATAGAATTATTGGAAAAAGAGAACAACACAGAGAAAGAAAAATCATAAAAGACATAACAGAATACTCAACTAACACTAATAAGTAGAAGCACAAAAAAAAATGATACGTATTCTTACTTAATTAAATCAGAACCAAGAACTTCATAAAGATGGGCATATGCCAACTCAAATGGTAACTGGAGGCATATGATGCCAAAGATAATTATAGCATCATTTCTGAATCGCATGAGACGCCCAAGCCACTCATGTCTATGAAATATTTCCTTCTCTTTAGCTCTATCAGACTCAAATACTTTCAAGAGTTCCATTGGGGGCTGCCATGAGCTGGCCTTCCTGCCTAGAATCTTGTATCCTTGGTCAGCTGCAACTGCAGAACTAATAGGCCATCTGCAATACCAAACACAAGGGAAAAGGTGTGAAGGAAGAGGGAAGAATCAAAGCAATTGAATGAGAAAAGTGATTGTACTGATCCCAAAAAAAGTAAGACAATACCTTGCTAACAGTGCAGAATTTTTACGTTTCCAGAACTGAGAAAACATTATTGCCCAAAGTATCACTATGATGAAGAAAGCAGGAAGCACCACTAATCTCAATGACCTAAAATGTAATGAGGAGCCATAAAACCACTTAACTAGATGCAATACTATAGAAGAAGTGGTAGCATAAACAAAAACCAACAGACAGATTGGCTCACCCAAAATCTATCAATTGCAATGTAAGCCCACATGCAGCAGGGAAGAGCAGCCACCTTGTGAACATTCCAAGAAAAGCAAAATAGATTGCAATCTGCACATTATTCATTCCATCATTGGATAAGGAGAATGGACAATATCATTTTCAGATAATGTTATAAAGCTCATAGAGTCATAGTCACATTAACCTTTGCCCCATAGTAAGAATAAATCTCATCAATTGGCTGATTAGTTAAGTCCCACCAATGAAGTGCCCAACTTCTGAGAAGTTTCTTTCTCTTCTTTTCATCTATCAACCAAAAGCAATATTAGTTCAGGTTCAAGCCACACTAATCAAGAGAAAAAATGATGGCACATGTGAGTAAAAACACCATGCAAAGGAAAGACTTGCTTAACAATGTTCTCTGATTCCAATTTCTGAAGAAGATTCTCTCCAATTTCCCAATGGATTTCTTTTCCATCAAATTTAAGGGTTTTGGCTGACTTGCTGTTGTTTACCTGCAAATTCAATTTATAAGAGAGCCAAAATGTTACGACATGTCAATAGGAGAGTTCATACAACACTGCAATTCCATGGTAGTCATAGCACAACAATAAAGCTTATTTATTAACATGTCACATTTTTTGTATTCATAATCACAAGAATGCATTTTCCTAATATTTTCTTGAATTAGAAAGCTAAGGCACCTATAATCTGAGAATCAGATAAAACAACATGCAGCATGCAGCATGCGTGGAACTGGCTAACAAGCACATCAAATTACAAAGAGCGATTTCGATTGTAGAGAAGACAAATGTCTAACGAAAGAATTCACTATTCCATATATCAAGTGACAGTAGCACTGAAAACGCTCACACCAACTGAAAACAGAACCATCAGGTTGTTTCACAAAAGCTTCCACCTCCTCCACCTCAAATTGCAAATCCATACCTGGCAGTTATTACAAGACACATTAACAGAAACATGGGAATTGCACAACCAGTCACATTCTAGTTAGCACCATCTGACACAGTGAACTTAAAAATAGTAATAAGAACAAATTCTCCCTTTGGGGGATTTGCATATACCAATAAGAGTCCGTTTTTTGATCTGTAGTTCAGCTGCAGCCCTCCCAAGTGTCTCCAAAGGTGCAGCCAACTAAACAAATGACAAATAAGTTTTAGCCACTCATCAAAAAGCTTCAATTAGACACTCAGAACTTGATTATATCAAAAGATTGATAGACCATGGAACAAAATTACTTAAAAAGTCCTTTTTAGAAAGAAAACCTAACCTTGATGAACTCATCTGCAATGCCAACAACTCTCTCAACAATAAACCCCATCTTTTCAAACTCCTTTACAAGGACTTCGATCCGCCCCATATAAAGCTCCCAAGTATCACCTACAGTAATAAAACATCAAAATTTAACAAGTTTCCAATTTTGATCCGTGAACCATGACCTTCCACATATAATATCCAGGCACCAATACAAATTTAGTTACCTGAACAGGACTTGCAGCAATAAGAACTCCACCAACTCCTCCACCAATGACACGACCATCAGGACTTGCAAGGGAAACAGTCAATCCACCAGTTCGATTGCGAGGGCCACCACTATCAGCAACCAAGTAAGAGCCTGACAGGCACAATATCTCAAAACGCCCTTATTGAGGCATTCAATTAGACACTCAGGGCTTGATTAAATCAAAAGATTGATAGACCATGGAAAAAAATTACTTAAAAAGTCCTTTTTAGAAAGAAAACCTAACCTTGATGAACTCATCTGCAATGCCAACAACTCTCTCAACAATAAACCCCATCTTCTCAAACTCCTTTACAAGGACAGATGCACAGTCCCAAGATTCATCTTTTTCCTGCACCACTCTCCTCGGAATCACCACCCCAAATTCAAAAACAGGTTCTTCATTTCCATGCTCGTTCATCTTTAACCTCACTGACCCAACAATGCACGTGAGAAAAGCCAAACAACAACAAATTCCCCCGTTCAACTGTTCAAGAAGCCAACTTAAGGGGCCTTTGTTTCAAAATGAAAAAAAGGTTCAAATGGACAAAAGAAAGATCTGTTTTTGGCCAAAAGGGTCGAAGAAAATGGCATTAAAAGAAGAATTTTGAGGAAGAATGGGTGTTACGTTGGAAAAAGGTAGCACCGTCTATCTAAGGGTGCAAAATTAAAGGTGTGTTGAACGTGTTGGGTCAAAGAAACAAACTCGAATGACGAGAATTACAAAGGAAAGGATTGGATTAAATTGAAGAGATGGTGATAAAAACGTCTAAGGAAAAAGACAGAAAGAATGAGGATTAAATTGAGTTTGAGGAAGGTGTCCTAAGCCTAGCAAACGGCCATTTTCGAGAGAAAGCTCTTGAGGAGGGACAGAGAGACTCACAAACACACATTAACATAGGGTCTGGTCCACGTGCATGCTTCCTACTTTTGTGCCTTTTTCTTTTTTTATTTTATTTTTCATGAAAATAACTTTATCTAAAATTATATATGTTATTACATTTTTTGTTATACCTTTAATAAATATTTTTTATGAGTTGGTACCATGGATAAACATAAAAAATTAAAGTAAATTTTATACCTTTAATAATTTTATTCAATCCATGAATTAAGTGATAATATATTCTAAATAAAGTATATCAAATTTTATATGATTGCAAAATTATTTAATAATTAATTATATTATTTTATTTCAAATATATAATATAATATTTAAAATATATATAAATATCTATTTTTGAATAATATATATAAAAAGGTTCAATTCATTATGTGAAAATTTAAAATTTTATATGTTATTACATTATTCATTTAAATTTTATTTTATCAAATTAATCAAAATATTAAAGTATAGTTATATCAATTTGAATCATATGTTATCATTGAATTAGTAATTCAAAAAATTAATTACCAAAAGAATTAATACTATTAATTTGTAATAAATACTGAACTAAAATATTTTTTTTATGAATCACGTGTATACTATACTATAAATAAGGCAAAATATTTACATTTATAGACAACAAAATTATCCTTATATTCAAGATTTGAAATTATTTATTAAGCTATTATTAAGTAAAATATCAATTTTAATCCAAATAAAACTAATAATATTTATGAAATGATATCTAAGTTTCGTAATTTAATTTAATTTTTATTTTAAATATAAAATGAAATATAAACTTTATACTATAGCTCCAGTTGCAGTGTGATGATGTTACCCTTCAATTCCTAATAATAATAATGTGGTTGATTCTTTTTGATATTTGAATTTTCATGTAATGTTAAGGTGAGTAGATTGGTATATATCTTCCAATTCATTCTCAATGAATTGCATGAAGACAGTTACACATTACATTCTTTAGGGACAGATATTTCATTAGCATATACATATAATTAATATACTAGTAATTAATAATAACAGATTGAATGGTAATTGTGAGATCATGATTACACGTGATGCGATTAAAAAGATAAGACGTGCCCACTTGTTGCTGAGTATCAAACCATACACACGTACGTACGTGTGGTAACATAATGTTTATCTTGCAGCATGCATGTTCTCATGCATGTATGTCAGCGGGATCTGCAAGAGTACAAGCTTACACAGTTATATGAATGATTATAGAAAATAAGATATTAATTACGATGCTAATTTTGATAATAACTATCTTATAATAAATCATATATTTTTAATTAGTTGATTGTAAAAAAGTATTGGGGGGAGATTTGATTTAAATACATGCATAACACAATGAGACCGGAAAGGTATTAATTTAGAGTTCAAAATAAAATCTTGCGTGGAGACCAACAAGGTACAAATATACTTGTACCTGTCTAATGGGCACACTAAGTCTTCCAGTAGTCCGAAGGCCGAACGAGACTCCCGACCCAGTAATCCGATACGCTGAAGAAGGGGTTGGTACCTGCAAAAGGCACTCCAACGTTCAAGTCAGGACAAGCTCGAATCTCTAGGATAATTAATGAACAGTGACGTTACCTTTTGTCCTGAGCTATTTATACTGTCATTTATGGGCTCTGGACCTCATGGGCCTCGCAGCATACTTACCGTATTAGGTAATACACCCTAATCAACTAATTAATCCCTAATTACTTGATTAAAGGTAACAAGTGTCGATAGGTCGATCCAGGTGGCAGATTAGCATTCGGCTGCCTGGTTCTGCCATTCAATGGCCGACATGGTGGTGGCCGACCCCCCTACCTGTACAATACTCATATTATAACAACTAGGATCTGATCTTAGTAAAATTGAATATGAAAGCATATGATCTTACATTCAGATTCAAATTCTACTGTCACTGTTGTATTTTACATGGATTAAAAATTGTATTGATATGTTTTTGAGACCTAAGAGGAATGCAATTACTAAAGCTCTATGGGATTGGAAGATGAATCGTAATGGTAATGGTAACGTATTAATTATTAAGTTTAGTCTATTTTTACTCTTATATAAATAAATTATTATTATTATTATAGCAAGCTGATTCATAATATATTTATATCAGTTGTATTAATGTACTTATATGTATATGAATTAGTTATATTTGTATTAATATATGTGTTATCTATATTAATATAAATTGAATTATATTTTTGGAGATTTATTTTATTTTTAAGATTCATTTTTTTTTTAAATTTAGATTAATTTGATCCTTTTAAAATAATAATCATTTTTAATTTTTCAACAAAAGTTTGGAGTCTTTATTTAATTGATTTAAGACTATAAAATCTTATCTTATTAAGATTAACTTATATAATGAATACAAAATTCAATTTATTTTCAAACCCAAAAAAGTTATAACCGTAAACCATATAAAAATTATATCACACAAGCAGACTAGAAAATAATTTAAAATTATATTTAAAAAAAAAATTGATTACCCTTTGGACTCATTTTCACACAATTTTTAGTGTATAAGACTATTTTTAGTTCAAACATAAATTGTATTCAATATTTTTCATGTAAATTAACCTATTGACATGAATTTTAAGTTCTAAATCAGTCAAAATATGGTTCAAATTTCAATTTGTCTCACTTAACCTATGAGTCAAACAGATTCAAGTATAAGTAAGGTAGGTTGAATCATTCAACCCACTATTAAAAAAATTAATATATATATATATATATATTATGTGAATTTTTATTTAAAATTTTGATTAATATATTTGTTTATGTATTTGCATTTGAATCAATGATAAATTTGATTTCTGAATATAAAATATTAAACAAAAACATGTAATTAATTATTTATTTATTTTTATTTTTAAAAAATCTAATGAGCCAACCTACCTAATTCACCGACCTGTGGTGGGTTGAGTCAGGTTGGAATCTTTTTGTCGACTCACTAGAAAGTGAGTCGGATTGGATTGACTCATTTAAAGCATCAACCTGTGGCGAGTCAACCCATATGAGTTAAATTGACACACTTTGACACCTATAATTTTAGTCGTTATAATTCATAACACTATTATTTTTTTTTTTATCGCTATGATCCATAACAATATATTTTTTTTATTTATTATTATGGCCTATAGCACCATTAGTTTTAAAATAAATAAATAAAATAAAATTGAGTCGTTATAGATTGTAACAACCCAATATAAAAAAATAAGTCATCCTTAAATTGCTATAGCTGAAAACGACAATATATAATTACTATCGGTTATAACGATTTCAACTGCATGACTTTCATAACTCAGAAACTATCATGTGACATATGTGTCACTATAAGGTGTAGCAACATATATAAAAATAACTCTAAAGGTGTAAATAATTATAAAAAAAAATTATTTATGTAAATAGTTTAGTAAACTGTCCCACAATGATCAAAAAGTCCTCTCTCCATTTAGCGTACTTTTTACATTTATCTATATGGAATCTTAATTAGTATATTTTTCCTCTATATTCACATCAACATGAATATTTAAAATCAAAAGTTTATGTTTATTTTATTAAAAGAAAATAATATAACAACTTAACATGGTAAAGAAGCACTATATAAAACTTCAAAAGAAATATAAAAAAATATATTACAAATGTCATGCAAAAGGTTTAAAATCTAGAAAAACAAAGAAAAATAATAAATTGATGTGATAAACTGATTAACAAGAAATAAATACTTCTTGCATCACTTCAATTGTATGCTCTATCACTTTCTAAATTTAATTAATAAGACTCATCTAAGAGAGTGTTATTGAGACAAGCAGCATGTAGGATACAAGTAAACATGCATATATAGGATAAGAACTCTAATAATAAATTTTAGTAGGTTAACTAACTTAATAACTCATTCCTTAGTTACATTCTAATATTCACTTTAAAATTATTGAATTAGAACCGTGTATACTTCTTTAAAAAAACTTGATTTTTGTTGCATGGATCGCTTTATAATTGTCTTTATATAGAAGAAGAAAAAAAACTATATTTGGTTTGTTATCTTGATTCTAAAGGACTAGTATTGAAATACTTTGAGGCTAGGAAATCATTCCGTTGCATGCTTGACTTTAACTTAATCTAAATAATCCTAATACTTTTATGAGAATAATGTTATCATTAGCACCAATTTTTAAATACTCATTTAGTAAGAATTTTGTGTGTTTTAAAAGTTTGGAGACTCCTCTTTATATGAGAAGGAAGAATTAATTGCACAAGTTTATCGTGGATAATGTAAAAATTTTAAGTTGAAAAAAAGGAATAATGTGAATCAAAGGTCAAAAAGTCTCGAGAATAAAAATCCTCATAATTGGATGGAACATGAAACAGGAATTTACCCGTAAAAATCCTCATAAGTATTATAGTCCCCACCTCACTCCACACCTTTATTTATATATAAATAATTAAATAAAAATACCTTATATTAGAATATAAAATCTTAACTTAAAATGTTAAATTTGTTGGGATACAAACAAGTCTCACATCGATAAAATAATACAATAAATAACAACTTATATAATATAAACATACTTCAATGATTGAGAGGTCTTTTGGGTGATGACCAAAAGCAAAACCGTGAGGGCTAAAGCCCAAAGCGGACAATATCTCATCATTGTGGAGTATGTTTGTGTAATAACCTTATAAAAATAACTCATAAAATATCTTCTCAAACAAATATCATAAAATTACACTATTTTATTTATCCATTTAGAGTTGTTAACTTGTTATATCTTTTGCTGATATTTTTAATTATTGTATTACATAGTTTTTTTGTGTGAATTATATTACATAATCTAAACCTTAATCTTTATCATGTTTTAATTTTTTTTGGTATTATTAAATCAAAATAATATTTAAAATTCAGAAATAAGCATTTACATAATATTTCATGATAATGAGATGAATATATAATTACTAATGATAAATTTGTTAAATTTAAAATAATTTTTTAATCTTTCAATTTTTTTATTTTATTTTATTATAAATTCTTTATAATCATCGTTAAAGGTAAAAATAATAATTTTAAGTTTTAGAGAATTAAAAAACATAGAGAATTTTTTTGCAGAACCAAGATAAAACTCAACATTAATTTTTTTTTGGGACTAAAAATATAGTATAAAGACTAGCACCTAAAAATATCTCTATCCCTCGCGTTCTAAATTCTAATGATAATATTCAGAATAAATGCATTTTTAATTCATCATATAACATTTGCATGATGTTAATTTCTTAAAATTTTTATTGAATAATTTAATTTTTTAAATATTATAATTATGTAATTTTCATTATTAAATTTTTAATTAAATAATTTTAAATTTTAAAATATTATAATTATATAATTTTAATCTCTCAAATATCATGATTATATAAATTTTTTATCTTTTTAAATAGTTTTTGTTAATAATAAATATTTATAATATTTTAATATATGAATAAAAATTATAATTATGATATTTAAAAAATTTAAATTATATAATTATAATATTTGAAAGGTTAAAATTAAAAATTAAAATATGTAACTATAATATAACGATGATGAAAATCGTGACGTAATATTGATTGGATAAAAAACCAATTAATCGTTTTGTTTAGTCTTGTGTTGCGTCTTTGGTTTCTGCACTTGATTCTTACACTTCCGCAAAGTTATCATGAGTTTCTTGAACTGGGTCCCTTTGTTCATCGTTTTTCACATCTTCGCTGCATCTCCCCACTTCTCATTAACTGATTCCTCCAAACAACTCCCCACCAACTTTCTAGATGCTGCCAATAAGGCTGAGGTATTTGATTGGATGGTCAGAATCCGGAGGAAGATTCATGAGAATCCAGAATGGGGTTATGAGGAATTTGAGACAAGTAAACTCATCAGAGCGGAATTGGATAAACTTGGTATCCCCTATAAACACCCTGTTGCAGTCACTGGTGTTATTGGCTTCATTGGGACAGGAAGACCACCTTTTGTTGCAATAAGAGCTGACATGGATGCTCTCTCCATGCAGGTCTCATAACTTTTCATATTCTTTCTTTCAAGGTTTTAAATTGGTGTTACATTAACCTCATAGCTTAGCAGTGGTTAGACTTAGACATTTGTGTTCATAGCAGTTTTATGCAATTCTTTATATAACGAGAAATTGCAAACAATTGAAGTGACTCAGAATCCTTGATATTCAACTGCAATACAATAACTACTAAGGTTGGCTTGGTGGTGGAGGTTAGGATAATATGTATGAGATCATGGGTTTTAATCTCACTACAATCATTGTACATCAAGAAGAAAAAATCCTTGATGTTGCAGCCGAAATCGTAGTCATGGACCAATTTTTTTTTTAAAACCTTGCATATATATGTTTCATGTATCAGGCTTTTGCCTTTTGATTTATGATGGTGTTATTTTTATGGATTGTTTCCGTATTGGGATAAAACAACTAAAGAGTTTTGGTTGTCTTTCCTCAAGTTTTATTGATGTTTTGTACTCTTTGTTGATTCATTACCATGTCTAATGTTAGGAAATGGTGGAGTGGGAGCACAAGAGTAAAGTACCTGGAAAGATGCACGCGTGTGGTCATGATGCTCATGTGACCATGCTTCTTGGTGCTGCAAAGATTCTCAAGGAGCATGAAAAAGAAATACAAGTTAGACTTTTTATACTGCCTTCTTTGTTTCCTTTTCATATCAATATGATGTTTTGCTCTATGGTTTTGCAGATACTGCTCTTCTGATCTCAGTTTAAAATGTGTGGTCACTAATCATTGCTCTCCTGTTTGCCATATACTCAAGAAATTTGGCCCTATTAATGAATTATGTTTTTTATGTAAACTTTTTGTCTGATGATTCCAATCATGTTAGAATCAAAAACAAGTTCTGTTTGTATGGTATTTGTAAATTACAGTCACACAAAGATAATGGTAATTATCTTATATGTTGCCAATGTTTAAAATTAACTAAATTACAACCAATCTATCATATGGCATATATCTTGAACCAATGTAAAAAATTATTTCTTGGTTCTTGCTATTGTAACACAAGATTGAAGAAAGGAGAAAAGAAAGTGAAAAGAGAAGGAAAGATAACCAACTAATCATTCTACTGTACCAAGACAGTTTCCCATGTCCTCCTCTACTTTATTATGAAATATGAATTGTCCTATTCTCTTGTTTTCACCCTGCCATGGACCTATAATAATTTCGTTATTTTGATGTCTAAATAGGGAACTGTAGTTCTTGTTTTCCAACCAGCAGAGGAAGGAGGTGGAGGGGCTAAGAAAATTTTAGATGCTGGAGCCTTAGAAAATGTTACAGCTATTTTTGGATTGCATGTAGCGCCTAACTTTCCATTAGGTGAAGTGGCCTCTAGATCTGGTCCATTTTTGGCAGGAAGTGGTTTCTTTGAAGCAATAATTAGTGGAAAAGGAGGTCACGCTGCTATTCCTCAACATTCTATAGACCCCATTTTGGCAACTTCTAATGTCATTCTTAGCTTACAACACCTTGTTTCTCGCGAGGCTGATCCTCTTGATTCCCAGGTAAATTTGCTTCAACTTCATTTACTCCTTTTCCCTTGTCACCAACTATTAGTTTATACTTTATGTTATGTAGGTCTAATTGGGATTTAAAAGGCAAAACACTGGTGGCAACCAGACCAACTGATGTCCTTGTTTGATCGCTAAATAAAAGTATTTATAGTTTTCTGAGCCTATGGCTATGCAAAACTAATGCTTGTGCTAGAAACCTAATTTGATTTATAATTCTTGCTCCCTTGCTTTCACGATGCTTTCTTTTCCGTGTTATCTACATAAACTTTGGATGTACTAACCTTTTTGGTCACTTTTAGAACTTAAAGTTGCATATCATCCTTGTATCAAGTATATTGTGGAATGAAAATTTAGCCTGGTACTTTTGTTTTTTTTATTCTCTTCTCCGATTAATAATTGAATGTCCATTGAGTTTAAACTCAAGTTTGGATTGTCTAAAGCTTACTCTTTAGGAGTAAAATTTAACATTGTAATCCTTTTATGCGAGTATCAAGGATTAGGGAGTTTATAAAATACTAACATATGTGTAACATTAACAGATCATGGATATATAATAATCCACTTCCTCGATTTTCTTATGTTTATATGTTATCAAAGAATAGAGATAGTAATGCTGTATAAATAATTATTAGTTACGTAACTTTCGTTTAGTTTACTCAACTTAGGTGAACTTTGGCCACACAAGAATTTCCAGTGAAAAAGATGAGATGACATAACACAACTCTAGTTCCCATCTCTTTGATTATAGAGATTTGGGATCTAAACCTTGGGTCTTTTCCGCAATGTCTTTGTGTTTGTGCGTGTGCCAAAACATGTGTATATGTGATTATTACTACTTGTTGAATATGACAAAATGCTATTTCAAGGACATTCTATCCTCTGTGCCTTCCTAATAGAAAGCATCTCCCCCCACAGGTTGTGACTGTAGGAAAATTACAAGGAGGTAATGCATTCAATGTCATTCCAGATTCTGTCACAATTGGTGGCACCTTCCGAGCTTTTTCAAAGCAAAGCTTTGAGCAATTAAGACGGCGCATTGAGCAGGTATGTCATGGAGAAGAATAAATTCATTTTATATACATAAACTGAAATAAATGGTTGGAGTTTTTTTAATTATATCATGAGTTGTCTGTTGTATGTGTTTGTTATTTGTGCCTATAAGCCCAGCCATATATATACTTTCACCATTTCCTTTGCAAAGTCTTCAAAACATGAGACAAAATGAAATGAAGATAGTAATGTTTTTGCTATTATCAATAAAAGCTTGTTACAATGGAATCAAGAAACACCCTTAGCCTTATGTAATAATTTCAACTAAAAAAGGGATTCACTCATATTATACAGTTTTGAGTACAATTAATTCCGCAGGGGCTAAGGCTGATTCATTTACACAGGTTGTGACAGCTCAAGCTGCTGTGCTGAGGTGCAATGCAACTGTCAACTTCCTTGAAGAAGAAAAGCCTTTCTTTCCGGCAACCATAAACAACGGTGACTTGCATGAACATTTTCGGACTGTTGCAGGAAATTTGCTTGGCATCAATAAAGTTAATGACATGCAACCATCGATGGGAGCTGAAGACTTTTCATTTTATCAACAGGTTATACCTGGCTACTTTTTCATGCTTGGAATGCAGAATCCCTCACATGAAAAACTGGAACAACTACACTCACCCTATTTCAAGATCAATGAAGATGTACTTCCTTATGGAGCTGCACTTCATGCCTCATTAGCTGTTAGTTATCTTCTCAAACATCCGCAGGATGTACGGTCTGCAGAGGGGAAATATCACGATGAATTGTAACAGCACTTTTTTTTTTGGGTAGAAAAACAGGAATGTTAATAATCATTAAAATAAAAGCCAATATATATTGTTTCTTGTAGCAACGACATGATATTTGCACTCTTTTACTTGGTGCATTGATTGAATGGTTTGTGTTTAAATTTTAACTAAATGTAAAGCTAAGCCTTTTGCATGTGACTAAGTAAATAAAATTGTTTTAGATTTGAAAAAAGTAGAAATTTTGTCTATGGAGTTTCACCCTCTCTCCTACTTCGTCCCTTGAGTACAGGAAAAGTTTTAAAGTTTTATAACATCTGTCATAATAGTCTATAGTGACAGTAAGAATTGTTTGAGGACTAAGTGCACAGTTGGCATGTTAATTGCCACTTGAACTACTTTCTACTATGTTTGTTTTTAATTCATCCTTTTTTTTTTAATCTCATAACTCATTAAATTGGTCCTTGGTTAAAAAAAGGCCCAAATAGTATTCGCATGTCAGCTATTATTGCATCACATATGCAAAGTAAGATCACCACAAGCAGATAGAATTTTACAACTCTGAAACCCCTTTCCACTTTCTCTATTCTATTTCTCAAGTTGACATTGTCATAAACATTCACCCAAAAAAATAGGTTGAATAGTGTATATCAAAAAATCGCATTTTTGAAAATAGTGAAATAGTAAAAACTTGACAAACATAGTACTGAAATGTAACAGACGAAGGAGGTTAAGTCTTTTATACTAGTTTGTCTTTAAACACAGAGACTACATCCAATTCTGAATCTAATTAGATTAAGTTCCATTATCTTTTACAGGATACAAATTTTTTTTCAATAAGTCACTTTTGACTCAAACCCAAGTAGTCTTTTACTTGTCTCTCCAAGCAAACAACCCCAAGTATTCTTTAACAAATAAGTCTTTTTAGGCTTAATAATCAAGTATTCTTTTAACTAAAAGTCTCTTTAGGCTCAATTCTTACAAATAGAAATTTGAAAAGAGTTATAGGGATAGTTTCATTTCTTCTAGTCATGGTGCTATGAAAATTAAAACGCAAACAAACTGTAAAAGACAAAATTTATCTACAAGATATACACTTAGAAATTCTTCACAATGTGGTAAGTTCGTTTCTTGTCTCTCTTATTTCCTTTCTTGTTTTATTGTCTTGATTGAGAATCCTTTGTACAATAGCTTAGAAGAAAAATGACCGTTGAGCAACTTTCTCAAGATGTTTCGTTTGTCTTTTCTTCGAGACCAGAGAAAGAGAGTAAATTAGTCGTTGTTGTAAGCATTTAATGCATTGTGTGAAAATGTTCATCTCTTATATGATCTTGGTAGCTACTTATCATCATTTCGTTAGGTAGGGTGAAAAGTAGTGACGTAGGAACATAGACTTTTCTCGTGTTATATGTAGCGAGCACCCACTGTTCAAGTACTATTGTGAATCCTTTGACTTTCCTACTAAAGATATCTAAACCAAAAACTATTTGAGATTTTGGTACTCATATTTTCTTGGATCCTTTTTTTTATTAGTTTCCATTCCCTTAGTCTTTCTTTTCCTTGAATTTTTATATCTATAACCACTGGCTTTGTGAGAAAAGACTTTGGATTTGGCTAAGAAGTCTCAAGACTTAAGTCAAAATCAAGACCAGTTTTAACAAAAGGTTTAATTTTGTTGATTCATCATCAAATTTAGTTAAGTCCTTCCTAAATTGAATATTTTTTATTTTTAGGACTTCTATACCATGAGGAACAAAACTAATGATCTTATTTTTAAGACATAGTATCTCCTTAGCATCATCTAACATTTTTTTTAGTTCAACATTCTATTTTTCCAAAGCTTTATATTTTTCTTTCAGCTTCTTATACTCTAAAGCAATCATGTGAGAATTAGTTAAGAGAGTCTCAAAAGATATCTCATCGCTACCAGAATTAGTTGAATATGAACTAGAGTAAGAATTTACCTCAATGTTGGTTGCATTTGACTCGACGTCTACCATGAGACAGATGTTAGCAACTTCTTCATCTGAAATGTTGCTCTCACTATTAAGATCCTCCCAAGTGGCCATTAGACTCTTTTTGGATTTCTTTTTATTTGACCACTTTTTCTTAACTAAGGGACAGTTTGCTTTTAGATGTCTATGCTTCTTGCATTCATAACAGAGGATATCCTTGATTTCTAGTTTGTTGGTTTTTCTTCCTTTTTCTTCTTTTCTGTGTAGATTCCTTAGTCTTCCTTCTTTTTTTAGCATAATTTTTAACTTTTTGAACATGAGAGAGATTCCATTGTCTGTTGAATCTTTTGAACTATCTTCTGACATGCTTGACTCAGATTCAACTTTTAGAGCTTTTCCTTTCTCTTTTCTTCCGCTCATTTCACCACTGTTTAAGGCAATAGTATCTTTTGCCTTGGTTTGATCTTTGTTGTTTAGGTGAACATCATGAACAAGAAGTGCTCCAAGAAGTTCATCAAGAGTGAAGACTTTTAAATCTCAAGCTTCAAAGATGGCAGTGGCTTTAGGCTCCCAGACCTTAAGATGGCTGTCTAGGATCTTGAAATTATTTTGAGCTTTGGAGAACTTAATTCATAGGAATTTTAACCCATTGAGAATTGCTTGGAATCTTACACATGTTTCATCAATGATTTTTTTCTCCTTCATAGAGAACAACTCATAGTGTCTTTGAAGAGTGGCAACTCGTCTGAGTCTGACATCTCTAGTGCCCTCATGAGTTATCCTGATGACATCCCACATTTCCTTTGTAGTAAAGTAGTTGCAGAGCTTGTTGTACTCGGTTATGAATAGAGAACATGCAAGTATATATCTTGCTTTAGTATTTTGCTACAAGATGTTACAATCTTCTTGAGTGTATTCATTCTTAGTCTTGGTCAACTCAATGTCACCTTGGGTGATAATCCTCCAGAGTTGGTACTAGACGGATTTGATGAACATATCCATCCTATCCTTCTAGTAGGGGTAGTCTTCTCCATTGAAGGCTAGAGGCCTTGTAAAAGAAACTCCTTCTGACAAGTATGGTCTATTTTAGATCTTTTTCCTTTAACACTGTTAGATGCTCAGCCTCGTCAAAGGCTGAGCTCTAATACCAATTGTTGGAGAAAAGATACACACTAGAAGGGGTTGAATAATGTATATCAAAAACTCACATTTTTGAAAATAATGAAATAGTAAAAACTTGACAGATACAGTTTTGAAATGCAATAGACGAAGAAGCACAAGTCTTTTATATTGGTTCATCTCAAACATAGAGACTATGTCTAATTTTCAATCCAACTAGATTGAGTTTCACTATCTTTTATAAGATATAAGTATTCTTTCAACAAGCCACTTTTGGCTTAAACCCAAATAGTCTTTTACTTGCCTCTCCAAGCAAACAACCCCAAGTATTCTTTAACAAATAAGTCTCTTCATGCTTAATAACTAAATATTCTTTTAACTATAAGCCTCTTTAGGCTCAATTCTTATAAATAGAAATTTGAAAAGAGTTACAGGGATAACTTTGTCTCTTTTAAACGTGATGCTATGAAAATTAAGTACAAACAAACGGTACAAGATATAATTTATCTATAAGGTATACACTTAGAATATTTTCACAATGTGGTAAGTTCATTTCTGGTCTCTCTTATTTCCTTTCTTTTGATGTCTTGATTGAGAATCCTTTATATAGTATCTTGGAAGAAAAATGACCGTTGAACAATCTTCTTAGGATACTTTGTCTGCCTTCTCTTCAAGACCAGAGAGAGAAATTAGCCGTTGCTGAAAGCATTTAATACATTGCGTGAAAATGTCCATCTCTTATCTGATCTTGACAGCTACTTATCATCATTTTATTAGGTAGGGTGAAAAAATGGCTAAATCATAGCAATCTAGTGTAATCAGAGTTCATGTCAATTTTTTTTGTGATTTATGGGATTTTTCTCTTTCTTTCATGAAGCAAAAATTAACTTTCCATTCCTAACAACTTTTGGTGTCTTCAAGGAAGCTTTTTCATTTGATTTGTTAATGAATAAAGTATTTAATGCTCTAAATGATAATCTGACTTGATAATGAAAAATAAATTTAGCAGAAAGTCAGATTGTATGCTTCGTCTAATGTCTTTCATCTTATAAACGAAATATGATGTTTACTTTGTCTGAAATAGTCTCTTCTTAAAAAATATTTTATTTGTTATCATTAAAACTTATAAACTCTTAAGGGACCAAAGATCGGTTTTTTGATTTTACAAATAACCATAATAAAGACTCCTTCTTGAAACAAGACATGTGTAGAACCTTCAATTTATTCTCTATATATGGGGTCCTACACGCCATATTTTGGCTATAGTAACATGATCATTTTCATCCATAAGTATGTGTTGAAATAGAACATTTGTCCAAAAAAGTTAAACCATAAATCTAAGTATCATAAGAAATTAATGAGTGACTTTCAATTAGGAAATATCCTAGATTTACTAAAAAAAATTAGATTGAAAGTTAAAATTGAAATTTGTTGTTTAGTTACACAGGCAGTGTGTGAAATATACTTTTAAAGGATACAAGAGAGAATATTGAAAATAACTAATGGAGAGAGCAAAAAGCGTGAGTCTCATTCTCTTAGCTGTGCATTTTAATTTATAAAACAAGTATTTAGTATTTTAAATTATTTATTATTCAAGATTAACACTTATTTTTATATAATTAATATTTATAATAAATAAATATTTATAATATATAAATTACAATTAATAAATATTCTTGAATATATATTTTAAATTTATAACAAATTATTTCAATTGTGATATAAGTTTTTTTAATAATAAATATTTTTATATTATTAAAATTTAATTTAGAGATACATAATGACCCAGCAAATCGTGGATGGTATAATAATACTAAAAACATCGAAACGGTGCTCAGTTCTCACCCTTATTATAAGCATTGGTTAGCTCTTGGAATAATGCTTTGGCAAAGTGTGACAATGAAAAGACGGAATCTCTTGGTGGTTGTTTAGGAACCATGCATTGGCCCCTCACAATCATGTAAGACTAGTAAACAGTCACTTTGTTGTGAATTGTTATATTAGTAGAAAATGTTAAAACATAAGAAAAAAGTTAAATTAGTAATTACATTAATTCAAAACTTAAGAAAAATTGTGAGATATATATTTAATAACAAAATAACAATATAAAGACTACTCATTACTCCCTATAAACTAATCTACTTGTCTGTTGTTTCATTGTTCATTTCATTTCATTCTCTCAAACACCAAATAAACAATGCGTTACTTCAAATTCAAAGGGTTCCATTTGTTGATCTTTTTCCATGTCTTGGCTGCAACTCCAGTCTTCTCATCATCAGATTTCTCAAACCAACTCTCCACAAACTTTCTAGATATTGCCAAGAAGGCTGAAGTATTTGATTGGATGGTCAAAATCAGAAGGAAGATTCATGAGAATCCAGAATTGGGTTATCAGGAATTTGAGACAAGTAAACTCATTAGAGAGGAATTGGATAAACTTGGTATCCCCTATAAACACCCTGTTGCTGTCACTGGTGTTATTGGCTTCATTGGAACAGGAACCTCACCTTTTGTTGCAATAAGAGCTGATATGGATGCTCTTCCCATTCAGGTTTCATCAATTCTATGTCTTTTTTTTTTCCTGACATGTTTGAACCAGGATTTGACTCTTCTTTTATTTAGTAACTGTTTTATGGTTTTGTTCTATTTGGAGGTAAGGGTAAGACAACAAACGAGTTATGTTTGCCTTTCCTCAAGTTTTATTGACACTATGCACTAAAAACAATAAAATAATTGACAATGTAGATATATATTTCATTGATTTGGTGATGTGTTTTAACCTTAGGAACTGGTGGAGTGGGAGCACAAGAGTAAAGTACCTGGAAAGATGCACGCGTGTGGTCATGATGCTCATGTCACTATGCTTCTTGGTGCAGCAAAGATTCTTAAACAGCATGAGAAAGAGATTCAGGTTTTACTTTTTTTATTGCCTTCCTTGATTCCGTTTCTTTTATGTATGATGTTATGTTCTGCTTTATTTTTTTCCTTAAATACTGCTCTTCAGGTTTAAATTTAACAGATTAGACTCTTCTATCAACTTTAAACATAAAGTGTAATAATAATCATTAATTAAAAAATTATGAATTAATATAATAATTAATTTAAAATTTTATTTTATCAAAACTCTCAGTAGCTAGCTTTTAATAAACGATTTTGAGTGCAATTTATCTTTTAAACTGTACTCTTTGTTTCAAGAGTCAAATCCAGTCCTTTGGATGATATATATACCCTTTTCTTATATATTGTAGAATTCCAGTGATGTCAATGTCTGGTTTCTAACAAATTTATTATGTAGCTCTTTGGTTTCTATTATAGAAATGTTATTTGTTAACAACTAAGAAAAAGAGAGAAAAGGGCCAAGTATGAGATGTAATAAATGATGGCAAATATAAAGAGACATATATTGTGTATAAAACATACTTTTCTCTGGATTATTTTATTCTTCTGTTGTTTTCATTCTCTCTGATGGATCCCTGATAAATTCGTTATGTTGTCTAAATAGGGAACTGTTGTTCTTGTTTTCCAACCAGCAGAGGAAGGAGGTGCAGGGGCAAAGAAAATTTTACTTGCTGGAGCCTTAGAGAATGTTAGTGCTATCTTTGGATTACATATGCTTCCTAACATTCCAGTAGGTAAAGTGGCCTCTAGGACTGGTCCAATAATGGCAGGAAGCGGTGTCTTTCAAGCTATAATAAGTGGAAAAGGAGGTCATGCAGCTATTCCCCAACAAACTATAGACCCTATATTGGCAGCTTCTAGTGTCATTCTTAGCTTACAACACCTTGTTTCTCGAGAGGCTGATCCTCTAGACCCCCAGGTAAATTTGGTTAATTCTTCTTTTTCCTTTGTGAGCCTCACATCTATACTTATTTGATTGCTAAAATTAAGAAAATTTTACAATCAGCTGAATCTATAACTCTGCTAATAGTAGAGCAATCTTCCTCTCTTCTGCATGTTCACTTAAATTATATATGGAAATCATAAAGGAAGTAAAAGGGATTTATAATGAGTGCCTATGATTGCAACCTATTCATGTAAAACTTTCACATGCTAAACAAATCTATTTGAATAAATTTCTTCATAAGTATTTTGTTTGGAGAAAAAATAGGAAGGAAAATTAAAATAATTTTTTTTATAAATTAAAATTAGTTCATGCGTAAGTTAAAAATAAGATTTTAGAGAAGTTAATAGGAGAATTTCTATAAATTTCCTTATGCATAAACTTATTCTATTTTAAGGAGAAATGTATTTTATTTTATTTTTTCTTTTTAAAAAAAAAAATGCTTTTGTAGAAATTTATTCAAATAGACATATCCACTTAAAATCTAGAACTTATTAGAACTTTTCGAAAGTATTGAAAAGTTCACTAAACACTAGTTCCAAGGCTCATTGTTAATTATAATAAGAAATAAGAACACTATTACATTTTATGTAACAATCTGAGTGGTTAGCTTGGCTGAAAAAATGAGCTTCGATGAGCACTATATAGTTGAAAACAACTCTACTGTTTGCTAGTCAAAGCCATCCAGTTTCCGAATTATGGAATCTAGACCTTTAGGATGTATGTGTTTGAGAAAATTTTTATACGTCATAATATTGTTGATTTTTTTAAACATATGATAGGACTGGTTTATGAAGGAATGTAATTGTTTATGGTGACAAAATCCTGTGTCTTCCTTACATAAAGTATATTTCTCACAGGTTGTGACGGTTTCAATGTTCCACGGAGGTGATACATTCAATGTTATTCCAGATAATGTCACAATTGTTGGCACCTTCCGAGCTTTTGCTAGAAAAAGCATGGAGCAACTTAAACAGCGCATTGAGCAGGTTTGTTACGGAGAAAAATATATTCATTTTACATAAACTTAACTTTTTAAGTATTTGCTATCTACAAAGGAACTAAAAAGTTAAGTTTATGACACTACAAGAAATGTTACACATAGTGACATACAAAAAGTGTCACTATAAGTACAATATATGTAAGTATATATCTATTTGACATATAGTTACACACAATTTTAGTGTTGATTTTGAATGAGATTTAACAACATATTTTGTGTGTTACTATAGTCTATACCCACACTTTTTTATAATATACCAACAAATATTATGTGGATAAAAGTAATTTTTAGTGACATATATAGTGTCACTATAGGGTGTATGTCACTATATGGCAATTTTCTTGTAGTGTGAAATTGTAAAGAGTAAAAGTTGTTGTCAAGTTTATGAAACTAAAACGACTAAAAAACAAAAATGAAAATGGTATATATATAAATTAAAATAGAATGTTTTTAATAATATGAATTAAAAGATAAATTTCATAAAACTATAGGAACCAAACAAGTATTTAAATTTTTTTTAATGCTTGACAAGCTTATATGAGTTTAAGGGTGCACCATTTCATGACTATAGTTGGAGCTTTATGCAGGTTATCATTGGTCAAGCTGCTGTGCAGAGGTGCAATGCAACTGTCATCTTCCATGGTGAAGTGGAACCTTTCTATCCTCCAACTGTAAATAATGGTGACTTGCACAAGCTTTTTCAAAATGTTGCTGTAAATTTGCTTGGCACCGATAAGGTTAATGTTGACATGGCACCATTCATGGGAGCTGAAGACTTTTCATTCTATCAAGAGGTCATACCTGGCTACTTATTCATGCTTGGAATGGAGTATAATTCATCTGAACCGTTTCAGTCATTACACTCTCCCTATCTCAAAATCAATGAAGACGGACTTCCCTATGGTGCTGCACTGCATGCATCATTAGCTGCTACTTATCTTATAAACTATCAGCAGAATGTAACACAGTTAGGTTAATAATTATTAAAAGCTAAAACAGTCTTGGTTCTTTTCTTGAAATAATGAAATCATTGCGAAAACCTTTCATACTAGTGAGAGTTACATTAGTGTGAACGGAATCGGTCTCTAAACTAGTGAGTTAATTAAGAGTATCTGTAACAAGACAATATAAGATTTCTAAGTACTTTTCCTTTAATGTCATTACATGTGTATTTTTTTTTTTAATTTATGGGAAAATAAGAATGATAAAGATAATTATTTCACATAATCATCCCAACTATTTCAATATCTTTATTATGTGTTGAGGATTCACACACATCTATAAGTATGATATCAACTTATTTTATTTTATATATCAGTCAATTAAAAATATAATAGGTCCATAACCTTTAAATAATTAATATAAAATTATTATGTGATTTGTTGTTGAATAATAAAAGTCTTTTAGTTTATTATTAATACACACTATTTTTTTTTTCAACGATGACATGATATGTGACATTAATTATTTGTATTATGGGTTAGATTTCTGAGTGTTTTTTCTTTGACAAATTAGTGAGTTTATAAAATTACGTTGTTGCATTTCAAATTATGATATGATTTTTTAAAAGAGTTTGTTCAAAATTCAGTAATATTAATTTAATATATATAGTTTGTTCTATGAACTTTTTATATTTTTAATTATGTTCTAAATTAAAAATATTTTTAATTAAGTTCTTCATCTTTTTATATTTTTGTAATTTAGTTTTCAGGATTAGAAATTTGTTTATAATTTTGAAATATAATTTTTTATTTTATATCTTTGTACTTTTATAGTATTATTGTACATGTCTAGTAGATTTTAATCCACCCATAAATTATTTCATAATCTCGTTAGTCATAAAATTTTTAGAATAGTATAAAATTTTAATGAATAGGAATTAAAATTCAACATACATAAATGATGACATTAAATAGTAACTAATATAGTTGTTCAAGTAAGAAAATAAAAAACAACCTGTACAGAGGGGTTAGATTGGCAGCTCTTGAAGAAATTTCTTCAACTCACCCTTGTCAAATGGGCAAGGCTTGGTACTTTAGATTAGTGCGTCTATAATGTCTTGGGTGACAATAGCCTTCCAATTTCTAGAATAAATCACCCCTTCTTCTCTGCATCCTGAGATGGTGGTGATGATCAGAAAAGTGATTTTGACAGCCATATTTTCAACAGTTCCAAAGATGGCGTTTGGTTCCTAAATAGTAGATGTCCAGAAATTGGCATATGGGGTGTGGAACCGATCACATCTCATTTCCACGAAGGCAATCCATCCTACACTGTCTAAGTAGTATTTCATTGGGAATCCTTCGTCTTCAATCTTTTGTACTGTAATGGTCTTTCTAGGGAGGAAGACGGACTCTAGGTAGATTTCCTTGGACCAAGCTACGTTGTCCATCCTACACTATCTAAGTAGTATTTCTCCTTTTGTACTTAGACAGCGTAGGATGGTCACCCACCACACCCTAAGGCCCTTGGACCAAGCTAGCAATATCAATAATTTGTTTCCATAATAGGATATGATTATTAACCTGGGGACTACCATAAACCGCTGTGAAAAGCCAAGGTGATGAGTCTAGAAACTGCACATTCAAGTGAACATGAAAAGGAGAATCACCTAGCACCTCAATACTCCAAGTCAAGGTATTCCACAAAATCCAGATCCCTCCTACATGGCCTCTCGCCTCCACAATGTGAAAACCGTTAAAATCAAATCGAGAGATAGTACGAAGAGACCTATCATGGTTGGCATGAGTCACAACAAGAACTACAAGGGATGAATGATTATTCTTAACAAGATCTTTGATAAGGGTGGGGAAAATTTTGTTACCTGTGCCACTACAATTCCACGATATGATGTTCATCATAAGGTAGAGGGTTTTTGGGGACGCAAGGGAGGCCTTAACTATATTTGAATGTTCAATATCCTTAGTCTGCATGGGAGTAGGTCCAATACGTTTCATGCATGAAAGTGGGCCTTGTATCTCTGATCCACCCTTGGACTCTATGTTAGGATCACCAAAAAAAATCCCTGAATTGACCTTTTCAAATCCATCAACATCCATGCTTACAATGTGCAAACATGGGATACCGATTTTCAAGAAACTATTTTGTTTTGTTAAGATAGACATAAGTCTAACCATATCTCTATCTCTCTCCTTGGCCTTTTCTCTCTCCTCATTGATCTTTGCATACATAATCTTGGAGGAAGTTTGTAATGTCTCATCCGTTATGGGGTTCACCGGTTGAGGAACCACGTTTTTTGCCCGAGCAAGGGCCTTTATGTTAGATTTCTTGGTATTTTTTCCTTTTTCAGGCCCAACAGTTAGGCTCTTTTATTGTGAATTTTTACCTCCAATATTAAGTTGCTTAGCCCCCTTGTTTTCCTTGGGTTTTCTTTTAACCAACATCCAAAAGGGCCATAAAAGTGGTCATCTCTTCGTCCAGACTTTTGAACCTCCTATCTCGATGGCTGGGACTTATCTTCTTGAGAATTGCTTGACAGGTTCATTGGTGCTACATTAGACTTGATGACTGAGGCCGTTTTTGGACCAGAAGATGAAGTAGACGCCCCCAAGCTACACTGTTCCTTTTTGTGCCCATAGGTACCACATTTAAAGCAAGTAGAGTGCAAGCCCTCATATTCCAGGAAGTTAGGATGAACTTTAACCATAATGTGGGTTGGAAGTAGGCGTGAAAGATCCATTTCAACGCAAATCCGAACAAACTTACCCCAGGATTGGATAGATGTAAGTTTGTCTATCTTTAGCATGGTACCAATGAAGTTGTCCTTCGTCTTCACTTTTTTCGTGGGTTGTTTTGATGAGCTAGTGTTATCGGAATCCTTTGCAGAGCTCATAGTAAAAGCTCATTAATGTTACATATTTGCTGATGTTGATGCTCAAGGCATGCTTGATTGTCAATAAGTCCTTTTTAATTTATAGGAAAATTACAGTGAAAAAGAAATCTGATATTTGTGGTGAATAATATATGAAGGGAAGTAACAAATAAGAAATATGTATAATAAATAATTAAGTTTAAGTCATTTAATATATATATAAAATT